TGTGTCGAGAAAAAATGCAGACATTAGATTTACTGGGTGACATTAGGAAACCGTTACTTATAAACCAATTAGAAGAGTATTTATGAACTTTTTCCAAAGATTGTAAACAAGAATCATATTTTTTAGATTCGGTATATATGTTACGGTTAAAGTGTTTACTTGGCTAGTTTATAGACTAGCTGGATAGTATACAAACTATCCAAATGTCCTGCTATTTTGATGGAAAATCATATTTCTACTAAAATAGCTATGAATATTGGTTGGTTTGTATACTAACCAGCTAGTTTACAAACTATGCAATATTTATCGCCATAGTACAAACCACAAAAAAAGTACACAAATTAACCGACATTTTTGGCTAGTTTACAAACTATCCACAGTATTTGGATAAAGTGTGAACTAAATATTCGTAGTAATACATAATAACCAGCTCGTCGGTTAGTATGTAAACTAACCAATTCTCTTCGGTTAATTTATTAGAAAAGTGAGGTTATAGTTATGGCAAGTGTGTGTTATTATTGTTTACTACTGTGGTGCCTTGTGAAATTTGTTTAAAAAGAGGTAATTAAAAATTAATCAACAGCAACAATTTGAAAACCTACTTTTGGAAGTTTACGAACAAAAGTCGCAAAATTCAAAAAAATTAATGAATGACAGTGATTAAAGTGAACTTTTGCAATGTATAAAAAGAATACGCGAAACTGGACCTAACACGAGTAACAAAAATTATTATTACGTGGTAAATACTTATGATTTATAGAGAATCGATTCATCTTAGGTAATTTTACATAAAAAATCTGAAAAGATTATTTTACGTTTGAGTGAATGTTATGATGCCATTAAAGCTACCCATCAGGGAACTGGGCATGGAGGTCGTCAGGCAATAACATAATTATTAAATAAAAAGTATTATAACAACACAGGAAACGGTTAAATTATTTATTGAAACTTGCGAAACATGTCAGCTCAAACAGATCAAAACTAAGAAAGGTATTGTTGTGAAACCAATTGTTTCAAATCATTTAAAGGCTCGGCGCCAAATCTGTCTCATTGACTTACAAACTAGACCGGATGGTGACTTCAAGTTTATTTTTGTCTATCAAGACCACCTAACCAAATAAGTCAGGTTGAGAGAACAAAGAAGGCTAGAGAAGTAGCTGAACACCTATTAGAAGTATTTGCAGACCTAGGGAGCCCTTACGTGTTTTAGAGTGACAACGGCCAAAAATTTGCAAATGAGGTTGGTGTTTTTCCAATATGTAGGTATAGAGTGGCCAAAAAACAAATAAAATTTAATCTAAATTCCTAGAATGAAATTATTTAAACAATCAATAATCTTTATTTAAATATATGAATGAAGTACCCAAGGCAAAATCGAATAGGTGGTTCAATGGATAAATGTTGACTTGCCATGCGGTCAGTCCAAGTATTTTTTAAGTTAAATTAGGTGCCAATATATTTATTTTTTCCAACAAAAATAATAATAATAATTTTTGTTACTCGTGTTAGGTCCAGTTTCGCGTATTCTTTTTATACATTGCAAAAGTTCACTTTAATCACTGTCATTCATTAATTTTTTTGAATTTTGCGACTTTTGTTCGTAAACTTCCAAAAGTAGGTTTTCAAATTGTTGCTGTTGATTAATTTTTAATAACCTCTTTTTAAACAAATTTCACAAGGCACCACAGTAGTAAACAAATATAAAACACACTTGCCATAACTATAACCTCACTTTTCTAATAAATTAACCGAAGAGAATTGGTTAGTTTACATACTAACCGACGAGCTGGTTATTATGTATTACTACGAATATTTAGTTCACACTTTATCCAAATACTGTGAATAGTTTGTAAACTAGCCAAAAATGTCGGTTAATTTGTGTACTTTTCTTGTGGTTTGTACTTTGGCGATAAATATTGTATAGTTTGTAAACTAGCTGGTTAGTATACAAATCAACCAATATTCATAGCTATTTTAGTAGAAATATGATTTTCTATCAAAATAGCAGGACATTTGGATAGTTTGTATACTATCCAGCTAGTCTATAAACTAGCCAAGTAAACACTTTAACCGTAACATATATACAAAAATCATCAGCATACTGTATTGTTTTGAAAGATGGATTTTTGATACAGATTTCGTGAAAATCGGCAGTATACATATTAAACAGCAAGGGGCTCAATACTGAACCCTGTGGAATGCCAGAACTATTATATCTCGGTCCTATAATTTTATTATTATGTGTTCTTATATACACCTTTCTTTGTGTATAAAAATCAACAATTGTTTCCGTAAGCTGGGGAGGTATGTGGAATAAGTTAATCATCTTATTTTTTAATATTGTTAAGCAGACGCTATCATATGAACCTTCTAGATCAATAGATAGTGTTGGCAAATATTTGTTATTGGAAAGAGTATGCAGAACATCAGTGACAAGAGTCACTAAAACTAAAACCAAATTGAGACTTTGGTAAAAGGTTTTTTCCTAGAGAGCCACCATTCTAATCGGCGTTTTATCATTCGTTCTAAGGTTTTAAGAATGCAGGACATAAGAGAGATAGGCCGATAGGATTGTGCGAGGTTTGGATCTTTTCCTGGTTTAAGAATTGGGATGACAACAACTTTCTTAAATTGATTTATTTTTGGTGTTGCAAGAATACCCTTAAAAATGTCCAGTAACATATATTTGGCAATACTAGGGAGATGTTGAATATTTGATTTCATCATACCCAGGACTGGTATTCATTCTATTATTAAGTGCATAGTCTAGTTCTGCATGAGTTAAAGGTTCTAGTAAAAAAGGTTTTTGATTATTTACGGTTGTTTTACTCTCCGGAGTGGGTTCAGCGGATGGCGGAGCAATTTTGTTAAAAAATTCCTCGACCCATTTGTCTTCAAAATATTTAATATTGGCCATTGGTTTTCTGTATAATTTTCTAGCTTGATTCCAGTTTTTGCCATTATGTCCTGACACTCTATATAATTTCCAAAATTTGCTTTTTGTAATCGATAATTTCCGTTCTTTAATTATTTTGTCACAATCCGCATTCCACCATGGTGGAGGGTTACGAAGTTTGCATGCGAACGGTTTATATTGTGGGATTGATATTTGTGCAGCATTGTTTATACTATTAATTAAGAATTTATATTTTTCAGGAATGATTTGACCCCAAAGTGTCTGGATAAACAGACCAATTAACTTTGTTGGCTATTTCCGGGGAACATAAAGTAATATCAACCATTGAAGCATTTTGATCAGGACGAGTTAAGATAGTAGGTTGACCATTATTGGCAATAGAAAGATTTAGGTCATCTGCGTTTTTAATGAGTTGCAAGCCAACTGCATCATTAGTATGAGAACCCCAAATTGAGTGATGGGCATTAAAATCCCTACCTACAATAACCGAGCCTTTAACTTGTGAAAACATGTTCACCCAATCATTCGCATTACTTCTAACTGTAGGAGGTCTATAAAAACATAAAAAATTTAGATCTGAATTTGCATATTTAATTTTAATTCCACATACTTGTACATTTTGTAAGATATCATTTATTTTTATTTCACTAAAGCTAATTGAATTATGGACTAAAATAGCTACACCTCCATAGCCATCTAGCCTGTCATTTCTAACTAAACTACACATCCCACAAAAATTATCGCATCACTAACAGTTTTCAAAAATTTGGAGTTTTTTTTGAAACATTTGATTTATTTGAATATTCTTTTTTTTTTTGGAAGATAGGTTGATTCTTCAGGAATAGTAATCTCTTTGATTCTTTAAATAAATTTAATTTTAGAGTATATACCGGATGTTACAATAATATAGGTTTTGGTTGGCAAATTCGTAACACCCTGTGGAGTGTACCAGCAATAATAGCATGTTATAATTAATAGCCTACTTTAGCCTCATTTTTCGCAAAATATTATTTTTGTAATTGTTTTATTCTCTCTGTTATTACAGGAGAAATACAGCTTTTTAGCACTGCCTGATTTTATAAACATACATTGCAAACATTTTAGTGATGCAATAATTTTTGTGGGGTGTATATGTCCATGAAAGTTATATGTTGCATTTTTTTTAAACCATGTTTCGCTCAGAAGAGCTACATCAATTTTTTTATTAATTAGATATTGCATTAACCTATTTTTGTTTGCTATAGCGGAACGTGCATTCCACTGCATTATATTTAGCGTATATTGTTATTATTAATTGCTTATCAATTGAATGAATGTCATCGACTGAACGAATATTTTCTAATAGATCTATTATGAAGCTTGACACATTCTTTATTATATTTTTTTTAGTTTCAGTAGTATTATAATTTGGTTTATTTGGATTAGGGGGTAGCGACTCATTAGGCCTTATTACAGGAAAATGATTAATTAAGACAATCATCCATTGTATAACAATTAATAAGCTTACATTTTCTAAAAAAAAGTAGATTTGGGTTTCATTCAGAAAAGTCCGTATCTGGCGGATCGGCCATATTGGGTTGAGAACAGTTGAGAACATCCACGCCAAGTGATACCATTTTCAATGTTTGAAAAATATACGTATAGCGTCTCCCTACCTTATAACTCCATGGCTGGCTGATACCCTTTCAAATGAAAAATCTGCCAATTATCGGTGGAATGCTTATTTGGAACTGCTAACTTGTCTGTGTTAACTATTTAGTGTTAAGTTATCTCTGCTAGAGTGTTATATCAAGATACATGGTGTAGGTGTCGATGTCTTTAATGAGTGAAATTGTAATTATTGAAAGTGTAATTAGGAAAATAGAAAAAAAGATCAGCATTAGTTGAACTTATTTTAAAATATCAAAAATTCATGCAGATTTTCTAATTATTATTAATTAAAACAAGAAAAAATCAATGTAAAAACACTCAGATAGCTTCTATTCTAAGCGCAGGTAAAGTAGAAAAAAGGGATAACACAAAACAACAAACAAAGATTTTTGAAATCTAGTTCAAACCAACAACGCATGTGACACCTAATTACCTGTTGATCAACCTCACTAGGTTTACGTCGGGACGACAGCTCCAAATCTACTTCATCCAGCAGTGCTGACATTGCGTTTACAACTACGAATATAGAATAGATAATACAACCATTTTTCGACTTTGCTGATTTTATACCATATTATAATTTGATATTTTTTCATATTTTAAACAGAATTATGGGAATGTTAATTTTGAAACGAAAATAAATAGGTCAAATTCAAATAATTAGGTACAAATTAAATTTTCTAGTTCCATTTGTTACCGTACTTCCGCAAGTAATTATAATAACTTGAATAGATGGAAACTTTCCAACTTTGATGTATGTATTTTTGTGTAAAAGGAGCAGACACCAGTCAGAACGATCCAGATATTATGCAAAAACAATATAAATTCGAATTAACAATTATTTTGAATATACCGTGTGTCCATTTAGAGCGCACTTCCTCGATATTTAAAATTATATTTCACGCAAACAGAATTTAAAGAAAATGTACCGATTTGATATTTTAAAAATATGTTTGGATATAGAGGGTATTATGGGTTTGAATTTTGCAGATGCAACAATAGCTTTTAAATGAAATATCCTGTATTTTATTTCAGTTTTAGAATGGCCTACTAATACTGAATCCTGCATTCAGCCCTAGAATATTTTAGAGTAATATGCTGGGTTACTGCCAAATGAAATGAGTGAATTTACGAACACGGATTCATTACCAAAAGTTGTTCCATTTTGACTTCTTAGCAATCTCTATAAGTCTCTAATATGTACTCAGAAGCATCATGTATATTATACAGAAATTTGAGAAAAAAATTAATTATTCGAAAGAAGTATTGTAATGAACTAAAAATTCATTCCTATTTTTAATTTACTGGATCAACCCTTGTGCTTATAGTTCCCCGATTATAAATTATTGCGATTTGCAAATAATTATCATTTTTATGTTAAATCTCATGTTGCTGTGAATCTATCGCGTCCCCACTCCCGTCCTCGAGCATTTTGAAATCGACGCGAAGGCCTGCAGAAGGTGGGCCAGTCAAAAATTGCGGAGATCCGGAGATTTATTCAATGTTGTCCGCGAAAAGTTGATTTCAGAGATAGACAGTCCTAGCTCCGATCACGTTTTAATTCTGATTAATTTCAAAATCATTTGCTTTCTGTTGTGTACTTTTACGATAGGTAATTAGATTGTTCCTGTAGTTTTAATTCAGTCTTGTGTCCCGAAAAACCGAGTGAAACCAGCAGGAATTAGTTAAATTCCCGAGTTGTTTATATTTTTTTATTCATTTTTTATTTGCAACCTTATCAGTATTTTGGAAGCAAATCTGGATTTTGTCTGTTAATTTTACAATAATTGTTGAAATCCGTATAAAACAGTTTAGTTCATTTTAATTAAATCTAGCTCGGTTTATTTTTATTTAACAAATAGAATTTGATTTGTTTTAAGAAATAGTAATACTGAGTAAACCATTAAATTAAAACTTGTAAATACTGGTTTCGAAAATAGTTATACCGGGGTTGTACAATAATTTAGTTTCCGAAAATTTTGTAAATATTAGTTTAAAAATATTTATACCGGGTGGGTGATTAACTTAGAAGTGGTTTTAACTTCTCCGAATACTTTATTTAAAATTAATTAGACCGGGTTGCCAAGAAATTAATCAATCGTAATATAGAGATAATTTTTTAATTCTTTCGAATGGAGTAACATGAATTTCACACACATTAATTAATTAATTGAGTTGATTCACGTCCCTTCCTTTTCCTGTTAGGCCGTGTTAGGGTTCCTAAGTATTTCTTTTGTACATTCCGTTATAAAATTAGAGTATCGTCTGAGTTGCTATTGAAGACAGTGACTACTCCCGCAGTAGAACGGGCTAATTTGGTAGCACACTCAGATGATATCTTCCGGATTTGCTATTGAACAGAAGTGAAGTTTAGCTACTTTCGCTGCCGTTTAGTGCAAGTCTGTATTTCTCTCGTAAATTTCTTTAGCTCCGCGATTAACGTTCTTTTGTTTATTATTTCTGATCCCTGTTCCCACCGCTAGTTAGGCTCTTAGTGAATTCCCGACCAGTTGACTGGACTCTGAATAGTAAGTCGAGGTATAGTGACTATCCCTCGTAGTAGAATGGGCTGATTCGGCTTCGCTCCCAGAGTCTGGTTTATACGAGGTTAGATAGTCTCGAGCGTCAATTTTTGTTTTTTGCTGGCAAAGAAAATATAAGCTTCCAGACTCCATAGCAATAAAAATATCCCTTTGTAAACATTTTCTGTCGTCTGGTTTTGCTACTTCCTGTTTAGATATTCCGGCCACGTGATCCCATATTTACCTTTTTCAACGAAATTCTGAATATAACTTGCGGTTTTTCTGAATCTAAGATGAAAACCGACCTGTTCTTTGATATAAAATCGGAACCAAAAGTATAAAAGTGGTTTAATTGCTCTGAAAACATTTGTACGACTCTCAACTAAGAGTATAATATTTTTTTATTGCCAACCGTCAAAAAAGCCATACATTATCATAGCATTTTGCGGAAGTAAACAAACACTTTATCTCACTGTAAAAATCAAATATTTTATCTGCCGCTAATATTTACCAACATAGCCATGCTCTTCTAACAGAAATTCACTGTTATTTTTCTGTTTGTTTGCTTTGTTATACTCAAATGTGATAATATTTCCGTTTTTATTACCACGTCAGCAAAGTGTCTTTACCGAACTCGTCTGTTACTCGCCCCGCTCGCTTCTCTCGCTCGGCTCATAATTTCAGACTAGTTCGATAAAGAATCACTTTGCTGATTTGGTACATACATAACTATTATTCGGTAGTTTTGCCCTATTCGTTACAAATTAGACTATTTTGACATTTTTTCTCGAAATAAAAGGCTGAATAATGAATAATTAAATGCCAGTGAAAAAGTTTATTTAGTAAGGACATAATAAATAGTAGTTTGTACAACAAGAGTAGATATGGACAATCCACTGGAATCGTATAGTATATTTTTCTACGACCCACTAAAAATCTGCAAATTTAACAAAATATATTTTAGGTTATTAAGACAAAATAACTAATTTTAAAATAATTTATGAATTTTACTGATTTTTAAAATAAAATAAACAAAAAATAAAAGATTTTATTTAATTAGTCCCCAGCCGAGATTCGATCTCGGGCTTTTCGCGTGGAAAGCAATCGCTCTGTCCTCACGTCCACGGCCACTTTTAGGATTTTGGTTTTAATACTCGTAATTAACATAGCTTCATAAAGTTTGATTAAAATTTGATATGGACCAAATAAAAATAAAAATGTTATTATTTATCGATTCTACACAAAAATAACTCATTTTAATGTATATTTAATCTCATAACTAAGACAGTACTGGCAATTAGTTTGACAGGATTGTCATTTATTTAAAATTTTAAAAATAATAGTAGTTGGGTGTCCAAAATATGAACTGTGATTGGTGGATTTAATTTTTTTGCAGTGTTCTCCCTACCTAGAATGGATATGAAATATATTCGTTTTGAACGCAATGACATACTTTTTCGTTTTGTAATCTGTGTTTAGATAAGCTAATATCCATGTGGGCGTAGACAAAATATTTTTCCACTTTCAATCAACAAAGTATTATTCGCAAGAATAATTATACAAATTCAATTAAAGTAAATATATTTAAAAAAATTAAAATTAGATGTTATTACATAATATGCAGGTATTCTTTGAAAACCGCGTTTACATAAGTACATATGGAGGGTACTACTTAATAAGCTTTTTTGGTCGTAAATGCCAAAACGAACCACTGTATTGTATTTTATTGTATTCGTGTACATAATGTATTCGATTATGTATTGAATACGTGTATATATTGTATTCGAATGTATTGTATTTATATATTTTGTATTTGTATACAGGGTATCCCATTAGTGTATAATTGTTCAATATTTCAATTTGTGTTATAGACACGCAAAAAATTTTTAAATAATTATATGAATTTAAAAAATACATATTTAATAAATACTTTTGGATATATGAGTTGTTGCGTTTTTACCTGGCAAATAAAAATGTATATTTTTTAAATAGAACACCCTGCATTTTATTTTATTTTTAGAATGGTTTGGTAATACTATGTTCAACCATAGATTTTTCTTAAAAAATATTACAGGATTAAACAATTTATTTTTTTATGAAATTACAGAGATGCAGACCCTAAATTAAATTATCATAATTTAGGTAGGTCTACAATAATTTCAAAATTGTTTAAAATAGACTTCTAAGATACCAAGCTAACGAATAGTAGTGAGTGTTTTGAAACATGTCTTAAATATGGCTAATTTCAATTTACTCATTTTTTCAAATGCAATACCCTGTATATTATTTTGGAATAAAATTTCTTATAAATTTAACTATTCAACAATACCAATATGTTAGATATGTACAGGGTGTCCCTACAGTACGTAATTGATAGATAGCTGTTTTATTATTAGAAATACGAAGAATTTTTTTAATATAAAAGATGTATGATCATATATTAAACAGTTATTCTTAAATATATAGAATAGTCCATAAACAAGGACCTGACGTTTTTTAAAGCAAAACACCCTGTAGGTAATTATACATATTTGATTGTTTTCACATCGTCAAACAATTTTAATAGACTCTATTAATTTGCTATGTTGTTTATAGGATGTGCCAATTAAATAATTCAATTCTTTAATGTTTTATTTTTTTTTTGTCTTCCTTGTACCAAAATACATTTTTTATTTTTTATTTTATTTACAATGGTTTATAATATTTGTGACGTCGGGAGAACGGAAAACCATCCAATATTTCTGAAAAATGGGTTAACTAAAATTTTAAGCGTTTGCCTTTAATTGCTATAAAGTTTGATTCGTAACTAATAATTCAAATCACCTCTCTGTTACAGTCCTTGAGTTTTACCTGTAATTATCTATTATGTTTTAAACTCTGTAACCTAGAGCTACTAATGATACATAAACATTTTTATTTTCAGAGGAATTGGGTTGAAAACAGGATTGTTTTATTTGAAGAATTATGAAAATCAATTAAACCTACATATTTGTA